CTTCAATTTTTAGAAAACCTCATACTTAAACTCGTTTGATAACCATGTTAATTTTTTTTTTTTAACTAATACAGTTTTCAAATTCGCTTCAGATTTTGGAAACAAAAAAATGTCATTTCTAAAAAAAAAAAAATGGAAACGGTCAGAAGCCATTTAATGAGATCCTACCATCGAATCTTGTTAGCAACAAACTAAGTTCTCTACCAAAAAACTCTCAAGAAAAATATTTAAACCCTCAAACGCTCTCTTATCTCATTGTCTCTCTCATTCCCTTCGTCCAATAGAGGAGTTCCAGCAGCTCAGATGTCCGATAGAGGAGTTCCAACAGCAGCTTCGTTCCACCAGCTGCTTCGTCTCTCTCATCTGAAGCTCTCTCACCAAGGTAAGTCCTTAAATCTAGGGTTTTCAGAAATTTTTTTTCCTTTTTTTTGGATATATCTCGATTTCTCTCAATAGCTAGATTCCTTAGATCTAGGTTGTTTCTTTGTGCTAGATTTATGTATTATATCTGTAGATTGTTTCTTTGTGTTAGATCTGATTTTTTTTTTGGTGATAGATCTGATTTTTTAAAAAAAAATTATTAGATCTGGTTTTTGTGTTAGATCTGTTTTTATGTGTTTTTTGTATTTTTTTTTTCTGTGTGTTAGATCCATTATGTATTAGATCTATTCGCATATTTTTTGTGTTAGATTATTTTATTTTGTTTGCAAGCCCATCTGCCATCTACATTTTTTGTGTTACATCTGATTTGCTATAGGTTGTACATTGGGTTAGAAGTCGAAAATTGAGACATTTTCTATGATCTGATCATATTTGTTTCTGTTTTGTTTTAATCCATGATTTTTCCTTTAAATTTATTGTCCATGCACTAAAAATATATGATTTCATCAATTTGTTTTCATACACATGACATTATTGGAATGCGTGGTTGTAGATGATGAATACCAATATAAGCAATGTAGGTAGTGACGATGTGGTTGAGGTTCAATCCACGAAATTTGATACCCCATGACTTACTAAGAGTGAGACAATTTTTATAGATTTAATGGATGAGCAGGTTGCAAAAGGAAATATATCAACAACTACATTCAAAAGAGAAGTGTGGAACTACATTCTTGAGGAATTGAAAAGACGAACTGAATATTCATATAACCATGAGTAACTTAAAAATAAGTTTAATAATTTGAGGCGAGTATGGGGAGATTTTCCCAAACTAGTTAATGAAACCACGGGAGTTGGTTGGCATCTAGAGAAATGGGCAATGACTCTGCCATATGATGTGTGGAAAATTTTTTTCAAGGTATAAATTTTTATTGTGTTCAAATGTGATATGATTTTCATTAAAGGGTCATTACTAGAATGTGTTTCATAATAATCCTATATTGTTAGGTCAATAAGCATGCCAAAAAATTCAAGAAAAAAGGTTGTCCACATTATGAGACATTGTGTAGAATCTATATTAACACAACGACAACTGGTGAACATGCTTACCTTTCAACCAAGCCTCACTCTGATGGTGAACATGATCCTAAGTATGACCCAAAGAGATGATGAGGGAAATGGAATTGCCGATGACAATGTGGATGATAATCCAACTTCTACCAATCATAATCGAAGTCGCTCTATCACTCCTAATCGTAGTCGGCATACAAAGAAAGATTCTTGTACTTGTGCCCTTACCAATGCACTAAACATGTTAGCTGAATCTGCAAAGGTAAGGTCAGAGTTCTACGAGAAAAGAATGACAAGTGGTGGTTCATCATAGACTTGTGCAGACTCTATGGCTGATTCGGTGACTACGATTGACCCACATCTAGACTTGTTGAAAGATTGCATCAACGCTTTAAACTCTCTTGAGGACATTGATGATGATACAAAAGCCTTAAAGTTGATGAGTGATGATATTGTGTGGCAGAAAGTATTCTTGGAGTTGCCTGATTATCAGAAGAGGGGTGTAGTTATGAATCTGTAATGTGTTAGGTCATGGCTATATTTTTTGTGATGAATTTAAACCATGTTTTGTACCTTTAACATGCTATTTCTAACCTTTGGTTGTTGGTCAATGTGTTTTTTTTTTGGGTGTTGTCATGACTTCAATGTTTTGTGGTATAATATATCGTTGGTTTGGTGTAATCATTATTTGTTGTTATTGTGTTAGGTTCTTTATGAATATGATGAACTCGAATGATGTCATTCAATTGATTGAAGAGGACAAGGAAGAGTATGAAATAGTTATGTGTATAATGTTATTACTCGTAGAAGAACATAATAGGATTTTTGAAAAAAAACCATGTAGAACCTCCATACTTAATGGTCATGACTATGTTCAAGAAATATTGCATGGACATGAGAACAGGTGCTATGATCAGTTTCGGATGGACCCCCATGAATTTATTTTGTTTTGTGAAGAACTAAAAAGTAAAGGGAATTTGACAAACTCTAGGTATGTGACAGTTCAAGAACAAGTAGCTATTTTTTTTAGTGATTATTTCTCACAATGTGAGAATCTGTTTGGTAGTAGAGAGATTCCAACATTCAGGTCACACTATTTCCACATACTTTCATCATGTCTCGAAAGTAGTTTGTCGACTTGGAGTGCATATTATTAGACCTCCTGATTTCAATATTATTCCACCTCAGATTCGACACAATCCTAATTACTATCCATTCTTCAAGGTAACATATATTCTATTTCTTATTATTTGTTATACTCATCATTATGCATATTAACATTCTATTATGATTTAGAATTATGTTAGTGCTATAAATGGAACTCATGCTGACACACATGTATTAGTGAGCAAGCAAATCCCATACCGTGGTAAGAAAGTTGAATCAACACAAAAATGTCATGAGTGCATGTTCGTTCGACATGCGATTTACATTAGTTATGGGTGATTGGGAAGAAACTGCTAGTGACTCGAGAGTATTTATTGAGTCCATTAACAATCCAAAAAATAATTTCCCAATGCTTGAAGGGGGCAATATTCTTCATTGTAACTTTTCTTTCTATTTGTAGAATTTATAACTTATCACTTAATTTACAAGTGTATCATTTGACAGATGAGTATTATGTTGTTGATGTTGGATATACGAACATGCCTGAATTTTTGCTACCATATCATGGTGAGAAATATTATTTACGTGACTATAGAGGTAGTGGTTGACTTCCAAAGAGAAAGATAGAGCTATTCAACTATCGTCACTCAAACAAATGCCGCCTTACCCTATAAGAGCACAAAAATACATTCCAACAACTTGTTGTATAGTTCACAACTTTATTAGAATGCACGCTGCTCAAGATCAATTATTTGATAAGTTCAGCAATGAAGAAAGCGTGGATGATAACGCAAGATCGACTTCACAGAACTCGATTGAAATAGATATTAGTCAAACTCAGATTCGTCAAATGGCTCGTGTGCGAGATTGCATTGCCAATTCACTCTGACCGAAGTTGGAGTTTAAGTTCAGATATATGCCCTCAGACTTCGACACTGCCCATTTTACTTTCTTGATACGGAGAGAGATGTACATGGCATACGAATTGCTCACCACTATAACGTTGTTATGCCCAGATTAATCAATTTGATGGTATCGCCGGCATTTTGCAATCGTCTACTATGCTAGCTTTGACTTAGGGCTCCAATTAACGTCAGACAAAACATTTTTATGTGAGTCTTTATTTTTTGAAATATTCTTTTTTTGGGTGTTCTAAGTTTGAGTACCACACAAATTAAAAACATTTTCCAATATTTATGTTTTTAGATTTTGTTGGGTTGCAATTTCATTGGGACTAATTTGCTTATTTGCATAAATTGACTATAACCTCTTTGGCTTTCTCAATTCATGACATGTGCAACAACCAATGATTCTTCAAAACAAAGTCGCGTCCAAACTAACTTGGCATTGAAAATGATGTTATCATGCAATGCTTTCGAAGTATGAAAATTTGTCGAAATCAGTTGTAAATGATTATAATTAGTCTCATTTTTTTTATGTAAAGGGTTGTAGTTAGTCCCTTGGTTTGTTGATTTCTATTTGAATAGATCGTGTCAATTTGTTCCTTTTGTGTTTAATAAATATTTATTTATGTATGTAATATGATGTGGAAAAGACAAATGTATCACATTATTTTCTTCAATTCGAGAAAAATTAAAATTGTAGTTCAAGTGTGCCCACCCTAACCATAACCCCACCTACTTGTATATTTCCGAAGCCATGTAGATTATGTGCAAGTAGCTATAAGAGGGTGGAATACAATACAATTTTATTCAATCAAATATCAGGTGGAACGTTCATGAAGAAGGCTGATTGTTATTCATGAGAAAAGAGTTGATCATTTACGATGGAGTTTGTGGAGTTTCTCTCTCCTGCACCAATATAATTATTGGGTTTTTTGCACTTTGCACCCCGAGAGAAATCTCGATTCCCATTTTATACCCTGAAAAATTATTTTTTTTACTTTGTACTCTGCATGTCATAAATTGGTTCCAATATAGCCCTCGAACTAACATTAGTTTTAAATTTCATTAAAAATTGATATCCGTGCTGCCTAAAAATATGAATAATGAGTTTATATTTTTATCCAATAACAACATACATAGATAGCATGTATATCAAATTTAAACAGAATTTAAAACGAATGTTAATCCTAAAGCCACATTAGAACCAATTTATAACATTCAAGGTACATTGTCAACAACATAATCTTTTAAGGTGCAAAATAAGAATAAAAACATCTTTCGAGGTGCAAAGTGAGTATTTTATCTTCTTTCTTACTAACAACATTTTTTTTTTTAACTTTTTGAATATGATTTTCTCTTTTTTTTTTTAAATTTGAGTTAATTGCATCCACCTCCCATGAGGTTTGTCCAAATAACAGGTAGACCGTAAACAACACTGACCTTCATGTGAGAGAGACTGCCTGCCTGCATGCGTGCGTGTGCGTGTGTGTGTGTGTGTGTGTGAGAGAGAGAGAGAGAGAGAGAGGGAGAGAGAGAGCCACACTAGATTAAACTGACATAATGTGTTTACTTCACATCTTAACATATAAGCAAAGAGTTCCATGAACTTTAAACAGAGTGCTGGGACTATGTAGAGTGGCTCAGCACACCTCGGTTTCAAATTTCAGAGAGATGCCCATGCTGAAAAGCTCTTGACAAAGTAGCTTCGCACCATAAGGTACATTGACCCTGATAATGTCTTCTACAGACTCACAGAACCGGCAATAAGGACCCCGAATCTTACGGCCACCAGGCACTGGCCGTTGGATGACGTTTGCCATATTTTTGCATTTCCGGCAGATGTGCATTTGAGAGGAGTCACTGAGTGTGAAGAGGCGTTCGTGCAGATTGGCAGCTGCACCATGGGCTATAAGGCAATCGCGCTCCATCTCCCCAAATTTGATCCCACCAAATCGCTTGCGGTCTGCCACTGGCTGTCGGGTGAGAGGATGGACTGGCCCAGTGTTGCGAAATTTAACTTTATCTTCAGCCATATGGTGCAGGCGCTGGTAGAATGTTGGGCCCATAAAGATTAGGGAACGAATCATTTCACCAGTTCGACCATTGTAAACTCTCTCATTTCCCCATCTTGAAAATCCAGCCCTGTAAAGCACATGTGAATCAGTCTCTCTGACATCCATTAAAGGGAACATATCAGTTGTAAAAATGCTTGTTCCCTTGGATCACAAAATGCTTGTGGTGTGCTTTGGTTTGGTGTCATTACCTATGAAGCTGGTCTGTTATCGCATCAACGGACAGTGTGGAAAAGGGGGTGGCATATTTTTGTGTACTGCCGAGGGCAATACCCTTCCCCAAAGCAGCCTCTAGCAATTGACCAGGAGTTTGCCTTGAAGGAAATGCATGTGGGTTTATTACGATATCTGGAACTATCCCTTGCACAGTGAAAGGGAAGTTTTCCTGAGACTCCAGAAAACCTAGAACACCCTTCTGTCCATGCATGCTTGAGAACTTGTCTCCAAGGCATGGAGAACGAACCTGCAGCACATAACTGGGAATGTAACCACTAAAAGGCAAGCCAATTCAATAAACTAATTTCAAAGGGTCACAAGAGAGACCTATATATTTTGTCAAATCCAAGTCATAGCAATATCTACTATAAGACACTGGCACTCAGCTGCGAATAAAGCATTCTATGCGTGGAAACAAAAAAGAATCATCTTATCTCTTAGCCGTGTGCGATGAAAGTTTAGTGCACATTTTGAATGACAGAATGAAGTAACTGATCGAAAAACTATTTTAGGCGACTAGAAAGAGGCAATGGACCAAAAAAGTCATCTCAAGTCACTGTAGTTAAATTTGAAAACATCAAACACATTCTTTAAGACATATTGTGCTGAGATTTTAAGTTAATGTAGATATTGCTCTTCTTTTGTAGGTTGCAGGCAAAGCAACATGGCTGATTGGGGAGAGGGAGAGGTGCTTGAAGAGGAAAAAACAAGGTTGGATAATAGGACAAGGAGCGATCTGGGAGGAAAGTTCTCCAGAAGCAAGGTGGGTTAGTTTCATTAGAATTAAGCCTATTACTGGTTTTACAGACACATCAAATAATCATCTTTTTGTTTTATACTGACTCAAAACAACTAGGGACTCTGTAAAATGGAACCACAATGGAACTAAGAGGACATGCTGGCCTTATCTCGTAGTATAGAAGTATTTCATCTATCACATGTTCCTTTTCGTACTCATTTGTATATGTTCGAACAGCTGAATGCATATAAAATACTACTGCAGTTGTTTAAGTAAAATTACCTGTCTCAAAGATACTACAGCGAAGTTCTTGCCTTCATCATTGGCAGAGAGGACGACCTTTTGGACCATGCCTCTTTCAGTGTGCTTCAATTTTACACTATGATCGGCCCCTGATTCTGCATATTTCCCTATGACAATATCACCACTCTGCAAGTTAGCACCGATGAAAGGGAAACCATCATCATCGAGGCTGTCAACACGTCCAATTTTACTTTGTGTCTTTCCAAAGTTCACTGTGTCCTCAAATTTTGGTTTCTTTCCCAATGCTTCCTTGTTATCAACCTCAGACTTGTAACTCCTGATGTGCTCTGATCGGAACATACCACGCTCCAATGATGCCCGGTTCATTACCAAGGAATCCTCTTGGTTGTAGCCAAGGTGCACATTGACGGCCACAATAGCACATTGCCCATTAAAGAATTCAGGTTTTGGCAATTTTGCACTATGACCACGAGGATACCCAGGCTTTCCAAGACAATCAGAAAGCATTGTCTGGAAAAGAGGCTTCTGGGGGTAGTACAATTGATGTGTATTAGTATCAACTCTGATATTTGGATTTGTGGTGGAAAAACCAATAGCCTGTTGAGAGTGCTTCTCAGACTGGTAGAGGACCCTTCTTGCATGGTCATGATTTGCAAAAGGGATGATCCCACAGCTTAAACCTAATAAAAATGACATATCAAGTTCACAGTGTGTGTACTCCATGGGTTGTTTGCCTTCTTTTTCCATTAAGAGGTATTTAATCCCCCATGCAGTGTAGCAATCTTCTTCCTCTTCGGGTCCAATAAGCTCAATGATTCCATTTTCCAAAAGAGACTGAAAAGAGTAATCTCCCCCTTTCAAATCCTTAATTTTCTTCAAGTTACCAACAACTAAAAGAGGCCGTAGAATTCTTCCAGCATCAGAAAATATACGTACTTCTCTGTGCTGCCCATCTCGCTTTATTTCAACCTATGAAAGAATCAACACCCCAAACAGTTCAGTCAGAGAGAGAGAGAGAGAGAGAGAGACTAATGTACAATGAAATCTCAGAGTCAGATAAAACCAAAGGCTAACGAATCCTCACTTCTCAAAAAATTCAAAAGTGAAATTAATATAATCCTGTTCCAAAGCCTAAAATTAAAACGTCTTCATGTGGTACCTTCACCAATAATCAAAGAGAAGGCATTAGAATTTTTCGTAGCATTGCAACGAGCAGATTAAATCAAAACCATTATATACCCAAAAAGCATAATTACATTTTCCAGCAACTTTATTTATAGAAATCATACCAATCTGTGACAAATGGATATGGACTTGTCTCCCATGTAATAGTTTCAAATAGTGACCAAAAAGAAAAGATATGGACTTGTCTTCTTTGTGGATTCTTGAAGATGTAATAAGCAGTATAAGGTGCATAATGCCAGCATGTGGGCCACCAGGGAGAACCAAGTATTTTCTTTGGAATTTTCTTTTTGCTTTAAGCAAACGGGGATGGGGATGATCAGTGTTTTGAAAAGCTCGCCTAGGCGCTCACCTAGGCGAGAAGCGAGGTGAGGCAAGCTTATCTCGCCTGGAGGACCCCAGGCGAAGCGAACGTGAGCGAAGCGAGAAAAAAGCGAGAAAAAGCGAAAAAGCGAAGAAGCAAAAAAAGCGAAAAATCGAACGTTTTATTATAAAAGGCGATTCTGCTTCATTTTTTTTTTTCTGATTACTGGTTAGTAGGCTATTTTATTTTTTAATCACTAATGACTTTTTTTTTAGACTATTGCTGGTCTATTTTTTTTTTCTAATAAACAATGTTTCGAACAAAACACATTCCTTTTTTTTTCTTGTGTTGTTGAATTCATTTAGAATATTTGTGGGATGTGAGAGTCAGGCGACTGCATGACAATTATGATAAAAAAAGGAAACAGGAGTATCAGGAATGGGGATAAATAATAGATTCTTCTACAAAGAAGTGTCTCTGATATGTCTTGGTTATACTTTTCCCTTTTCTTATATATATACAAATGGTACCAAAAAGTGGTCTATACTTATACCATGTTTAATTATTTTAGTACATGTGAAATGTGCCTCTGTTCTACTTTTTTTTATTCAGTATATAATTACATATGAAATTGTTTACAATTGATTCTGCTCCTGTCATGATCATTGCGCTTCTGTTTTTTTTTTAGCACATTCTGCTTCTATTTTTTTTTGTTGATTCTGTTGCTGTTTCGTTTTGCTGTCTTGTGTTGCTTTTGTTTTTTTTTATCCTCATTCTGCTTCTTTTTTTTGTTGCTAATTCTGCTGCTGTCCTGATTCTACTTCTTTTGTTGTCCTACCCTATCAATATGAAAATGTATACAATTGTTAGTATTTGTTTGAATTTAAATGTTTAAGTTATGACTGTTATTAAGATTTGAGATATTATTAGTGTTTGTTTTAATTTAATGTTTATGGTTTTACTTGCATTTAAATATTTAGTATATATAAAATTAGAACTTAGATTGTTTAGAAGTAATTAAACTAAAATATATATTTTTTTTAATTGTTCGCTTTGCTTCGGTAAAGCGTGTCGCTTCGCTTCTCGCTTCTCGCCTAGGCGTTAGGAGCCTTGGTCGCTTCGGTTCGCTTTACGCCTAAATAACACTGGGGATGATAAGCCGCTACAAAATTCAACCTCTAAATTTCTTTCTAATGATGAGAGTTCTGAAAAGGCAAATTTAACAAAACCTGTGCAGGACATCTACCATAAAACCAAGGATCAAAATTTTTGTTTCGTTTCCACCAAAAACAACCGAAACGTGCCGGGAAAACAGAAAAAACCAGTGATCCAGTGTTGATCAACATTCATATTGAATAGGGTGTCAAATGTGTCAGGTTAAACGGTATGTGTCGGGTTAAACGGTGACGGGTGAAAAACATGTAAACTCATACATGATCCGTTTAAAATAAACGGGTGGAAAAACCTCAACACGTTTGTTTAAATAAACGGGTAGCACGACACAACTTGTTTAACCC